ACATACATACATACATACACATATTCTCTGCGACATGAATTGGCATTCCTCTTGCTTGGATGTGTAGAGGCGGCAGCGTGAGAGTGTCACGTGAACCGTGGCACGTCTTGCGAGGACAGCCGCAGACGCTAGACAGTGCAGCACTCCTTGCTTACCAGCAACCTGGCCGCAGAACTTTGTCGCAGGACATCCGTGCACAAACAGCATGGACCTGAGACCTGAGGCAAGTGCAGCAGCAAGCCTATGAGGCAGATAGCGGTTCCTCCTACGGACTGTCGACTGCGCTTCGAGTGGCTTGCTCTCGTTCTTGGCACATGGGCGCCTGACTTCAGACGAGAGTCCATATGCCGTTTTATGTGCAGCGTAGGACCTTCGGGCCAAGTGCTACCGCAGACCCGGGACCTGCCCACAGAGGCCCTGCTTGACTGGCTCACGACCTGGAGCGCAAGATGGTAGCTGGGTGTGGAATCTGCACAATCAGAATATGCTCATGTGTCTTATGCCTGGCTGCAGCGAAGCCTTGTTGCGGTCCGTCCGCAAGACCTCATATGGCAGGTGAAGTCGTTTGCTGCTCGATTCAGCATTGAGGACCAACTTCAAAATCGATTGCTGGAGGCAGCTGTTCCATGCCGGTGCAGCTTGGACAGTGTCAGCTTTGCAAGACGCAAAGGCCCTGACCAAACGTGGTGACAAGTGGGAGGCAGACGCTTGGCCGACTTGGTGTTGTCAGTTCACTTCTATTGAATCTATTGGATAGTGTTCTCGAAGGCATCGCTAAGCCGTAAGCAGCTGCTTAGGATCTCAAAGATTTCACGGCCTGCCTCTCCCGAGCTCGCAGCCCTGCCGGGTTTCTCATCGTGAAGCTGTCGGATCTGGAAAAGGCCAGTACGGCGAGGAAGTTGCAACCAAGCTGGTCAGCCACTTGCACTGCTTCCAGGCCATCGCTGCCGAGACAGGTGTGGCAAGGGCTCGATGGAAACAGTGCTCGCATGGGCCGTGTCGTCTTACACCTCTACAGTAGCGCAGACCACCATTCCACGGGTCTTGCTTGAGCCAGAACATTGAAGGTGCAACAGATGGTGAGTTTAGGCTGTTCACACACAAGCAGAGTTCAATGTCTCTAGTGTACGTGTGACCTGATTGCTCCGGTGCGTGAAGACATGGATGAGCAGACGTCACAGGCTGCTGGGTCGGATGCACAAAGGGATTGGTAATTGCACGGGCGATTTTGCGCCAACATCTTGCATAGCCGCAGACAACCCACAGCATCTCACCACCGGCAGGTGCAAATCCAGCGAAGCCCCGGGAGCTTTGTGCCGACTACCGGCGTGGGGCGTGCACTCGTGGGGATCTTGGAAGAGGGCTTTTCAGTCGCAACTTGATTTGATGGTCTCAGCGTCTTCGAAGCAGGTGGAGTGGCATGCAGGTTCTCACACGATGTACCCACAGGATTGGATAAAAACAACTTTGCTCCCGACTCAGACAGGAGGCTTCTGAGCGTTATGCCAGTGATGCTTCTGTGGGAAGGCTCTCGGGCCGTGCCGAGGCCAAACTCATTGCCCAGGCGCAGCAGAATACCTCTTCGGGCTGCTGCCTCTGAAATCATCAGCTCAGCCAGATTAACGGAGCGAAGGCGCCTGCTCTGCTCAGGTTTCAGCAGTGGTTTCAGTGGTTCAAGCGCTGCAAACCCAGCTCCAGCAGAAGGTTTTGGAGAACGCAGAAAGGAGATTCTTCAACAATGCTGTCGCGTTTTTGCTGCTTCTTGCCGATATTATTTCAGAGGAGACTGGTCGGAAACCATCTCCATCCTCCTCCCGGTCCAGGAGGTACGATAGTTTCGGGCAAGACATGTAGGGCTGGTTCCGTGTTTTGGTTCGGCTGGCATCGGAGGCAGCGGGATGCATGTGGCTAGGCCAGGTTTCCAGGCTTGCATGCTCGGATACGTGGTCCAGCGATAGCGTGTTGCTCTCGTGGCCCGTAGGAAAAGCAGAGCTGTAGGTTAAAAAGATGTCCTTCAAGAGCAATGTGAAAGAGGAGCCGCAGCCGTCGTCGGCCACGCCGCACGAGCCGGCAACGTGACAGCCGAAGCCGCGGACGAAAGAGGCGATGAGGCGGGCGGCCAGGCCTGCCAAGGCCTGAACTCCGAACGCCGCTCCAAAGAAATCCTTAGTGTGAGGAAGGCGAGTGATGGGAGCCGATCTATGGACTCTGTTTTCTTCCGCCGATGAGTTTGTGAGGCAGTGCTCGCCTGAGGGGCTGCTGGAAGTCAGCGGCCTGCCCTCTGAGCAGAGTTCTTGAGCAACTTGAACCTTTGGGAAGAGGACGCAGGACAAGACAAGAGGGACAAAACACACTGACCCATTCTTGCGCGGTAGTGCAGGGGCATTGAAGCCGAGTTTGGGGAGCCCCGAGCACAGTTTTAAGAGGGTTTGAAACGTGTTTCTCTGAGGCCGAGTGCAGTCATGTCTTTCTCGAGTGTAGTGTCCTTCCTGAGTGCGGTCACGTCTTTCCTGAGTGCGAGCAAGCCTTGAGGGTTCATTTGTGTTTGTGCAGCGACCTCCGGCCCCCGAAGCCTCCTTAGCCTCAGTCCTGAGAAGCTCCTTAGCCTTAGTCAGCCATTTTGAGCTTCCCTCCGTCCCAGCAGCCTCAAGTAGTCCTTGGACAGGGCCTCCAATTCCGTCGTCTCAGGAGAGGAGGCATGCGATTTCCCTAGCCTGTGGACCTCAGCAAGGGCACCCTAAGCAGTGGAGTGTTCTCCACCGGCTCGGCCTTACAGACAGCCTCAGGGTAACTCTCAGGATCATCGACAGGATGGACCCCTCCAGTCCCTTGTTTTTTTAAAAGAGGTGCAGGCGCATAAGGGTTTTACTTAGGGTTTGGAGGGATTTAAGAGGGACGGAAGCTGCCCTCAGTCCCAAAGCACAAACCTTAGGTAAAGCCTCTTAGACCGGGGGTTTAGTGGGTTTGTGGGGTGAGGGGGCTTTGGGGCGTTTGGGTTTAGGGAAAGCTTGGGGCCTCAGGGCCAGGGTATCAGGGTTTGGAGGGTCTAGGGTCTCGGGTTTACGGTTTAGGGTTTGGGGTGGGGGTGGGGTTTTAGGCTTTAGGGTTCAGCGGGTGTGGGGTGCAGGGTTAAGCGAGGGTTGAGCGTTTAGGGCCAAAGGGGATGTAGGGTTATAAGAACTTTGCGGTCAGGGACTTCGCCGCAGTCAAATATTTGATTTGGCGTTTGTTTGGTGTTGTTTTGGTGTTTGAGTTTGGCGTTTTTGTGGAGCTGTGTTTCGATTGGCGTGTTTTTGGTGTTTGTGTTTGGTGTTATTTTGGAGTGCTTTATTTCGTAATGTTGCATGTTGTATCCTATTATCTTTTGCTGGTTGTACTTCATGCTTGCCAACGTGCGCAGCCCGCTCCCCCTTCGCTTGTTTGAGCAGTTGTGTGTGTGTGTGTGTGTGTGTGTAGGGAGGCAGGGCTGGAGGGGGAGGGGCCAGGGAAGGGGAACTCCAAACTGAAGGCCAATATCCAGGATGAGGCATCCGTGCTAAGATTCACAGAAACGCAAAAAAGCCAAACCAAACACCAAACACAGTTGTCGAAGGGATGGGGAATCATGCTGCAGGCTACTCCGGCTTCTCCAAAAAAGTGCCATCACAATCCCAACACCAAACAAGCACCAAATCGGCCAAAAACACGCCAACAAAATCTCAACACCAAAGAAACACCAAACCGAGCTAATCGGAACGCCAAATAAACACCAACAAAATCTCACCACCAAAAATGCACCAAATCGGAATGCCAAGAAACACGCCAGCGGAAACACATACTTGTTCTGCTGATTTCCAAAGCGTGGCTGCCCGAAAATCTTACAAATATAGGGTTTAGGCTGAAGCAGGGTGTCGGGTTTCGGGCTTCAGGGCAAGGGCTTTATTTTTATTTTTATTTTTGCGGGGCCGGGGGGGGGGGGGGGGGG